AGACGTCAACATTAAATTACTCCAAGTTAAGCCCACCGATAATTCAATTTCTTTTCCTTTCGTTTCGTTCTGTATACAAGTAGTCGGGCTCAATCTATTGGCAATAATTGCAACAGGTCGGGTTACAGTTTTAAGAGTTGGGAATAATTCTAGGGCGTATTCAATAAAGTCTCGCTGTGGTCCAATGGCCCGTGGTAAGAACGTAGGAATAGGTCGTAGTTATTTCTGAATCCAATTACTGCGCAAATTATCTAATCAAGCAAAATTCGTGTCAGTGATAGTAGACTGGAGAGGGTTTAATTTACACAGTCAATTGAAGGAGAAAAGTTGAGAAAAACATTTCAGTGAAAAGAAACGATTTACTCAACAAGCAAACGATAGTTGGATTCAGGATTGAAATCAATACCCCGGCGTGTCAATCAGGGGTGATGACGTTATTCGGAGTCCTCTTAATGGCTATTTATATTCAATTTAAACCGGCAACACTTCAGAAAAATATAATAATATTAATTTCTACACTTAACAGAATTTGGTTTTGCTTTGAAATGAAATCGATACTCGATAATATAATCAGGTTTATGTGTATTCATCTTAAGTGGCGTTTAGACTTTTGTCAATACATTTGAAGAACTTTCTGAATACAAATCGTTAGTTTTATACACGGACGTTGGGTCTAAAGTGCTGAAAGTCCTTAAGGCTCTAACCCAATATTATCTATAATATTTGACATTGAAAAGACGATTTAAAAGTTCAATATTGGTCCATATCAATGCATTTAGTAAAAATATAATCTATGTACCATAGAAATATATGTCTATTTATACATAGCTATGTTCCTGATATAAGACAACATATAAGACAAAATAAACATTTTAATATCCGTTCCCGTCGTCGGGCTATTTGTAATGTGAAGACAAAACATATCCCATAACCCAACACGGAAGGAATTAAAAATGGCTTGTACACTGAACTAACTGGGCGTAAACGTCCATCATTCAATCGGGACTGCTCGCGTATTTTACCCAACATAACTGATTATAAATGACACTGTACCATATTCTTTTAACAACTCGAAAGCAACTCAGTTTATATAAATTCCTAGTACATTAGTATGTGCTGTTAGGCCCATTCATATTACATTAATATGCACTTTTCGACTTATTTTAGGGGGGTTGGATGGCCGAATGGCCGAATGGTTAGCGCGTGGGCGCTGTTTAATAAATCTGTCAGTAAGTAAACTGGTGTGGTTTCGATTCCACGGTTGTACGTGAAAAGGAGTAGGGTCGCCTGTCCAACCTCGTGCGTTTTTTTCGGGTCCACTGGTTTCCTCCCACTGCATAACACCCTACGCGCAAGCGAATTATTGAAATAAAATTGAACCATATATGTTAGTCCCGAAATAACCTGGTTTGTGTCGAGTGGACGTTAAACCCCCACCCCTCTCGCTCTCTCCCGGCTTATTTTAGTCTATTTTAGGTTCCAGCCCTTTATAATCGAACTGTGGTTTAACTTCCTACTCTAGGCTAATGAAGATGGACATGCGCCATATAGTGTGCTATGAGGGAAATTTTGCCTGGACAGCGGCACCACGACCCTACTCTGAATTCCAGCTGCCAGAATTGCTTTACAAGCATGTCAATGTGTACATTGGACCTCGGTTTTTCGTCACATCCGAGAAACTATACCCTGTCCCTTGACAGGCCCTCTGTCCTTCACCACGGACCCTTTATAATCAGAAAATAGGTAAATATTAACCCCACATAAAGAACTATGTATTTGACTGAACCGAATACGTTTGATTTATAGACGATATTAATTGATGTTATAAGAATTAACATAAAGAATGTTATTAATTGATTGGGGGGGGGGGAGTCGCCGATCCCCAAAGGAACGAAAGAAAACAAATGTAAATCAATAATATTTATTAATTTATTTAATAAACAACGGAAAACAATAATTACATATAACACAACAAATCAATAAAAATATTTAAAAATAAAACTGAGATCGCCCATTGAAACTAGGAATAATGTGAGGTTCCGTTAGGACAAACTGAAATGTCGGAATTTAAAAGGGCTAAACTCAATATTTTCCATAATATTTGAAATCAAAAACACGAATTAGAAATCAATATTCATTTTGTTATCTTGCCGGGAAAATAAGGGATCCCAATATCCAATATTTAAGACACAATAAATTGTTTTATAAGCAATACACGAGTCGTGTATTTTGGGCGTAATTTGTAATGAGACAATGCCGAAGTAATTAGTAATGAGCGATTTACAGATGACAAAAATATAATATTAAAAAAAACCGTGTAGAATGGACTAAGGAGGCGTCAACGACCATCGGTCAATTTGGACTGTAGTCATTGAGTCAACTGGCGTGGTTTCGATTCGCCGGTTGTACGTGACAAGAAGTAGGAGGGCCTGTCCAACCTCGTGGGTTTTCTCCGGGTCCTCCGGTTTCCTCCCACTACTAAAGACCCCTACGCGCCAGAGAATTATTGAAATAAAATTGAACCATATGTTGGTCCCGAGGTGGCCTAGTTTGTGTCGAGTGAACGTTAAACCCCATTTGTTAATATTGGAACGGGTGGTCTGGTGCCTTATTAACTAAAACTTAAACTAGAATAGCTCTCCGACGAAAAGTCACATCCTTTAAATATTTTAGTCTACAGCTTATATGTATGGAAATTAAGATGAAATGAAATGGGGGTTTAACGTCCTACTATTCTGCTGGAAATTAAGGTTTTGGAGCAAAAAAGTATACATATATAACCGCAAATGGTTCTTTACAAGAGACAAAATCACGATTAGCAAATTATTCCACACAAATGACTAATGGCATTCCTTCAATGATTTTGAACATAGTGTCTTGTATGGTTTTTTGTGTTTGTTATTCGTGATTTTGGAACGTCAACTTCACAGGTTAACCTTTTCTGTTCTTTCGTTTCAAGGAATTTGAGACAAGATGAACCATGCTTGTATGAATTTATCGTAGTTCCGTTTTGATTAAAGTTTAATTCCAAATTAGTTACATCACGTCGTGTTTGATTGAAGAGGACCCAGATGATTCCAAATACGTTTTCAATTACGGATTCTTCACTTTATGAAAACCACTCGAATACTCAAATTATTAAAAAAAAAGTCAATGAAAAAATGATTGATTGAACAGTATCGGAAACCGGATATGTTATTTACTTTCAAGAATTATCGATTACCAATTTGGATAATTGTGACGTAATAGTTTGTTTACAAGAACTATATTGTAGTAGCTTGATTTCTAATTCGGGTTAAACAGGATCCATTTAAATCAAACACACCGTCCTTATAATTGATGACGTCATTCATTCCAATAGAAATATCAACCAAGAACCAGGTGCGTATTTAAATTGATATGAATGACGTGATATTACAGTATGGAATACCAATTTGATTTCCTGTTCTTCCGGAACACCTGTTAAAGTTTTCTTATTTCTTCAGGAAATGGACTAAATTAATACCAAATGTACTTGGCTGCACTGTTTAAAAGCTTTTAGTACCAAATTTTTAAGTTTTGACATTTGAAACAAAATAGCTTTTACATGGTTCAAGTCATCAAGACCCCAAGAATAGAAAATCAAATTAGTTTAGCCTTAGAACAAACTGAAATCCTCGAATTGTGTATACTTAGCCCAATTGATGATCTGCTCTTAAGCGATAAAATGTATGAAAACCTGGTTGGGATAAAGAAACACAGAATCGAGTTACAGAGAGAGAGAGAAAAATGGGGTTTAACGTCAACTCGACACAAACTAGGTCATTTCGGGACTAACATATGGTTCAATTTTTATTTCAATAATTTGCTTGCGCGTAGGGGTCTTTAGCAGTGGGGGGAAACCGAAGGACCCGGAGAAAACCCACGGAGGTTGGACGGGCGACCCTAATCCAGAATCGAGTTACAGACAAACAGATTTTTGAATTTTGAATCCTTATTTGAGTTCCAAGAAGTCTGATAATCTGTGTTATTGACCTTTATTTTGCATCTGCAGAATCGACCCAACTGGGTGGATGCGCCGATTCCTGGATCTGGAACCGGATTGGAACATCTTTAGACAACAAACATAATGGATTCTCTATCTGGCAACAATCTAGATGTGGAATCGCGCCCGATCACATCGGCTCAAATAAAGACCTATTCCAGATTTGATGGGTGGCATGAAGAAACTAAACTTTAGTACATTCAGGGAGTGGGGTGAGTGAACGGGGCTTGATGTCCAATCGACACAAATTTGGCCATTTCTGAACTAACATATGATACAATTTGATTTCAATGATTCGCTTGCACAGCCAACCAACTCTCGATGTGGTCTCAATCATCAAATATGGACAAATGAATGGAAGTTTTTCACAGTGAACAATCTAAAACCGTTTAACAATTAGCGACCACTCAAAATGCTATATATATATATACAGATTATATACAAACATGTTCAGCGAATAATAACCGCGCATGACACCAACGATACCGTATCAAAAGTGATGTCATGTTGCTCTTTTAGAAATAATACCTGGTAAAATATATGAAACGAACGGATGATAAGTCTGAAGTCTTTCTTCATAACTGGATAGGCAAAAACACTGATAGAAGATATAGTATGTATCTTTCATTTGAAATCAAATCCAAGATAACAAATGGTTATAGATGTTTATGTACGTATCTTTTTAAGAACACGGCGGTGTTTTGATCCGACATTACACAACACTTAAGTCCTTTAATCTCGTTTCCTTTTTGTCCTTCAAATATTCTTTATAAATTAAACGAAACGAACATTAGAACGCGAGTAATTCATAACTGAATACAGGAAATAAAATCGTTAAAACACGAGTAATTCATCACTAGATTCAGGAAACAAAATCGTTAAAGCTGTTAACAATCTCTTTATAGGAAAACCACGGTTCTTTGATTCCATACTATTCTCGAGTTTGAGTTCTTTAATCTCATTTCTTGCCTGTCTTTTAAATACTTGTTAAGTGGGTGTTGGACATAGGAGATCCTTGGTGTTTGGGTCGATAGCGAAGTAGATAGAAACACATTTTAGTATTAAAGAGAAAATATATAATGGGGTTAGCAGCACTGTTTAAAGGAGCTAGACTCTGTATAAAAGTACTTATAGCCACTGTTTGTTGATCTGACGGCAGATGATGATAGACATCCAATAAATCGAACACGAAATACGGACTCCAACAAATAATAAACACTGAAAAGACAAGAAAATAAAGATCTTAATATAAAGTTACAATATTGGTATGGGTTCGTATATTTGAAATCATATCTAACGGAATCCAGTTAATAATTAAGACTAGAAATAAAGGAAAGAGCATCAGAAAATAAAGATGTTAATTCAAAGAAAGAATATTGTTATAGATCTATAGATCCGCATAACTGTATAATCTTTACACAGTGTAAAACATTGTTGTTATCAAATAAACGTTTCAAATCTCCAATTCATAAATTAGTACTACAAAAATATAATCTGTTTACATTTAACAACGTTATCGAGACTTTTTGGCGGTAATTATTGGATACCGGAGTTTAGGAATTGTCACAATTTCAATTGCATATTTTGAATATAATTAACGAGAGATTAATAACAGCAAGTTCAGTATAACCACTATTCAAATAGCAGTCGAATAATGACGTGGAATATTCGAATAGTAAACTCAACATTTAATATAACCACTATTCAAATAGCAGTCGAATAATGACTTTGAATATTCGAATAGTAAACTCAACATTGAATACACTATTCAAATTTCAGTCAAATAATGACTTTGAATATTCGAATAGTAAACTCAACATTCAATATAACCACTATTCAAATAGCAGTCGAGTAATGACTTTGAATATTCGAATAGTAAACTCAACATTCAATATAACCACTATTTAAATAGCAGTCGAATAATGCCTTTGAATATTCGAATAGTAACAGACAATATAACCACCTTTCAAATAGCAGTCGAATAATGACTTTGAATATTCGAATAGTAAACTCGACATTGAATATAACGACTATTGAAATAGCAGTCGAATAATGGCATGGAATATTGGAATAGTAAACGCAACATTCGATATAACCGCAACAAAATAGCCAATTGTAGAATAATAAAAAAAATAGTCATTACAACTTACCTAACACAATAACGAGGGTCATTTTAATAGTTTTTAATTTTGCTTTAGGAATAAGACCACGTGAACTACAAGCAGTCAACATTTCTTTCTTTCTGTTATTACGATTACTTCTACTCGATATATAGGAACCTGAAAATGGACATTGTATATTAGTTTATGATTACTCATCTCAGAACACCTGGTACCACTTCTCAAGTGATATTTGGTATCTATTTGTCCAGTTTTTTCAGTTTGTCCGCGTAAAATCTCCCTCATAGCACACTGCATTTCGTAAGTCCGGATAGGATAAAAAAAAAAACGTAGGCCGTATTACCCCAATTAACGTCTAAGAGACACAACACAGCGAAGCAGCGACCAGTGTAAAGTGATGACAAATATCACGTACTATCAGCTCCCCTAATGTCAGTGTTCATGTGGAGATTTTCCGCCCCCACCCCCATCCCGCCCTGACCGCGCTTGCGAATCCTTCATACGAACCCTGTCATCATAGGCTTCTGTTATCCTGATTTAGAACCTATTTAACTTCTTTGGCAAAAACGTCAGGACTTCGATTGAAACAGTCTTTTTGTGAAGAGTGATTGATATAAAACCATATAACTTACTGAATTTAATGTCCAGCGGGGTAATTGCTCTGTTATTAGTCATTTTCGTGCTATTTCTTTATGCACACAGTGGACTATATATAATTTGAGAAAAGATCCCTGTCCTGGATGGCCTTCATATTCTATTTTGCAATGTAGTTCTAATCGGTTTTACACCTTTCATTCAAACAAACACTACATAGCCATTTTCAATTTTACGAAATGGAAGCAGAATAAATACTTCTTTAAATTCTCGTAGTCTATACTAGTGTATTCGACCAACATCCTCGATTAAAATGTCGGTCAACAAGCTTCATGTCTGTTCTCAAGCGGAGATAATTGTAAGACCAGTGTCTAGTCGTTCGGATGGGGCAACAAACAGAGGTTCCGTGTACACATTAGCGTGTTAAGAACTCTTTGACAATTGGAATTTGAAATAAGATTAGACTGTAGTGCTGCTGCCTGAGCACAATTTCCCTGATAGTACACTGTATGACGTATGTCCGTCTTCATTATCCCAGTCGGTGCAGAAAAGTAGGACGTTAAACCCCATTTCATTTCATTTTCAAAGTATGTTCAAAAACCGGTACCATATATTGGTGTTATCATATAAATAGAAATTGTTCTCGATTTTTCAATCCAGGACACTCTTGGTCACTAGCCCCCCCCCCCCCTCTGTGCGATAATTAAACTGGAAGGTTTATATATATGAACAAGGTGAATTAATTAATCAATTAATGTGGTATTAGCTGTTTTACTTACTATTTGTGATGTATCTTTTCTCTGAGGTAACTGAGTTGGGTACTTGTAACGACGTTTTTCTCCATAATATAACTACTATTATAATATAGCAGACTGCAATCAATACGGCTGGTATAATAAACAGTCCTATAGCGATTATCGTTATATACAGCTGTAAATAGAAAGATTAGGACACCATCATTTTAAATAAACACAAAAGTTAAACACTAATGGCAATATATGGGAAATGCGGTGGCTCAGTAATTGATGTGCTGGCTGGGTAACCAGAAGGTTTCGGGTTCGCTCACGATGTTGGTCGAGATAGTTCCCCTTGATTTTCTGGCGTGGCTTCCCTTTGCCAGTGGTGCAAGGAACAGCGTAATGTCCTTCGGTTGGGACGCAAACAGAAGTCTCGTGTACACATTTTCTAGCATGTAAAAGATTAGACCGTAGCAAAATTCCCCTCAGTCTATTTCGTTTGCATTAGCCCGGTAAGCCCAAAAAAATAGGAAGTTAAATCTCATTTCATTTTATTTCATTTCGAAAATCAATATTATGACAGTATTAGATACACCAACTAGCCATAATTTTAGACTTCTTTGAAATAAGACGTCATCTTTTTTTAAGGTATATGCAGAAGCAGAATATATAGAAGATTGCAAAAGACGAGATCTCTTAACATTAATGATGTAAGAGTAGCAACAATATTCTTGTGTCTATACAATTTAAGAAACATATAACATTATTGCCTATTCTAGTCCATTCACGACGCCTGCCATTAGAATTCTTCCAGATCTAGAGAATTTCTCTCATCTAATTAATCTCATTTCGATCATTTATAATTTCAATGGCCTTCACAACGTTGTGTAGTGAGGACAAGCAAGACGAATTTTTTAATTATAAAAACCGAAACGAAATAGGATCTATGTTTTCATCAGATTGGAGAATTTCTATTCGATATTTTACGTTATGGTGTGATATGACAGTCAAAAATAAATCATGATTAGCAGAGGATTTTGACGAGTAAGTGGTCCCCAAGCGCTACGTACTTGTCTTGTTGTTGTTGGGGCGGGGCACTTTGACAAAAGTCTAAGACTCTGCCAATTTAAGTACGATGGATATGGAACTTGGCATGCTTATTCCTTGTCCTTGGACAATTGGGCATCGATTTACGGACATCGATGTTTGATATGCCGTCACAATTTTAAAACACTTCTGGTCCATACAGTACACAAGTCTTGATTTATTAGAATAAATATTTACTTTTTTGTGGCAATTGTGATTTACCAGAAAAAAAACCATATATTTTTCGTGGCATCACTAGTTTATATTTCAACTCATTCTACTGGTAATAAAACAAAACTAGTAACGCAACCCTTAACTGATATATCGACATTTAAAAAAAAACATAACTTCCTAATATAATCCATTTATGGCACAATATTTTTATATATAGCACTGTTCCTGAAATTGGATAATATAACTGTCAATTTCGCTAGTTGTGAAGAATTCGGTCTTAGTTGTTTTCAGGAAGTAAAGAAGATTTATTGGTCGTAGTATGAGTAAGATAAATTAATGTGCTCAATTTGCAGAAAGCAGAACATTGTTCGAAAAAATTATTTCATTTCATGGCTACTTTAATATTTCAATAAATACAACATATGACGCAGCAACATTTTGCCTAATTCATTTATGTTTTTATTTACGCAATCCTTGGACTTGGTCGTCGTGACTTTTTCTTAACCTACATTCTACAGTCCTGATTGTGGCTGGAAGCGGAAATAAAACAAAATGGGTGTAACTCAGCCTATATAAGAGCAACTCCAGTGAGAGCCTATGGGAGAGCCTATACATTTAAAAGTAAATGTCCTTCAGAAATTACCTTGGATAAAAGGAAATTGACTTCAAATTTTAAAATTTTAGGAGGAGAACCCATGTACCCCCCCCCCCCCCACACCCACCTTCTGGCTCTGCGGTCAGTCATGCGGGAGCAGGAAGACCCCCCCCCCCCCCGGCCCGAACGCGAACATTTTTCTGCACGCACCCCTGTTAATGTCCTACTTTTCGCCACCAATAGGGATAATGAACATGGGCATGTCCCGTACATGGTGCTCCGAGGGAAATTTGATTGGACCGCGCGGCACTTCGCTATGCCCTTATTTCGAATCGCATCTGTCTAGGGTTTCTTTACGTGCAGGACAAAACATTAAATCCGAGATTTCATTCAATTACATGCTGTCGCTGGATCCACTAACACTGTGAACAGACGAACGACGATCAAATGTGCGGACGGTCGTGGGCGACAACGATATACTTCATATACGCACACATTTAGAATATAATGCAAAACATAAGCTATATATTACCTTCCAATACCAAGCTTCTGGAAACTCTATCCAGCATTGGGGTCGACCGTCTACTATTATACGTTCATTAATAACAAGCATTGGTACAGAGAAAGTCAGAGCACAACCCCATGCCAACGATACCAAAATTTTGGAACGTGTTTCTGAAACGAAAAATTAAAATATTATAAATCATTGTTTCTTGGAACAGGTACTGTGTCCAAGGGTCTGCGTACTGTTCTTATTCTCCTTCTTGTTCGGGGGAGAGGGGCACACTTCGAAAAAAATCTGAATTCAAGGGCGATAGACATGAAACTTGACACGCTTGTTTCCAGGACGATTCCACATCGATTGTTACACTAACCATGATATCTGTGATGACGTAATGCTCGGTCCCGGGTCAATAGTATACTAAAACAGAATATTAATGTTATGTTTTGGTATTTTCGGTAGTGTACCAGTCGTTGCGAGAAGAAAATCGTCAATTGAAGAACATTAAAGGCTCAATACCACTCTTGTTGTAACTGAATAATATGTCCCAATATTTATTCTGGTCAACAAATTGTACTATATATTTTACAATATTCCAATTAATTGATGATACAAATTTCATCTTAACACACCTAATTTAAAAAATTGGAAAAATTCAACTAAATGATTTGAAAAGCCTGAGGTAAAGCTTTTCAAATGTGACTTGGATTTAAAAATATTTACACAACAGGTAGGACACTAACACATCTAGTACTTAGAATAAGGCTATTTTTTTATTTTCTGGAGCTGTCAAGCCAGCAAGAGTGTTATTGTCCCTTTAATATTATGTTGCGAGAAAAAAATCGTAAATAGTAACTGGGGAGAAAGAATTATAAATAGGATCTGACTTAACAAAACAAACGATAGATTATACTGAATCACGGAAACTGGTCGAAATAATATGGGAAGAAGATGAAGACATTTTGACAGCATGTATCCGTCTAGTTTTGTCTGTACAGCCATATATTTGATATGCTAAGCTCGTCATTTCCTCGACTTTTATTGAAAGGATTAGAGACGCTATAACAGGAACATAAGAATTGTGTCAGTATTCTTAGATTTTATTCGGCAAATTTCAGCGAAATTTTTATACCCTTAAACGTGTGACGTAATGTAAGAGTGGTTTCATAACATTCGCATTTTATTAAAACTAAGATCGCCAAATCATTATTGTAAACTCTGTCAAAAAACTTTAGGACATATTTTTGTGTTCATGTCACTTCTTTGATATTACATTTCTTGCAGACTTTCTTATAATCGAACGTACAAGCTGTTGTATGGCAGTGAACATGAACAATGATGCTAAGACTGGTATGTAATCTGTTTTTATCGGCTCGTAGAAACAACCTACGTGACCAATGAAATCATCAAGGGTAGATAATTTGAATTCGAGAATAACCGTGAATGTACCCAGGGGTTAGTTGAGTAGAATGGAATAATACTACTGGGGATACCGAAATGGTATTTCGCTGACATAAAACAAATGTGTGGACAGTTTTCAGCAAAAATCTGAAGTCATTTTGACAAATACTGGTAAATATTTAGATTTTTACTTGTATCCTTAAAGGTGCATCACATTGTTGAAAAGTTTGTCGTTTTCATTCGGTTAACACGGAGCAATAGTTTAAACTATATTCATTACGTTCCAGGCGCATCGGTAATTCGGTATAGGTTAAACATTCTAAGACTAAAATATGAAAATTCTTCGATTCCGTTTGGTAATCTTCGACGATGATTTTAACGTTAAACGTAAATATGGAAATAAATTCTTTGATTACAATCCACAAACTTCGGTAAAATATTTAATACTATCTTTAACGGTATATTTAACACTTTCTTTTATTTCATTCGGCCAGCTTTATATTTTCGACCGTTAACACGTCAATAGTGCACCATTCCTTACGAAAAATCTACTTTGTCTACTAAATTGTAATGATCACATTCTAATCAGTTTATCGGATACTGATTTAATATCAGTCTCTCCCAGTATGGTACTTCACCGGCATTCCGTGGCATTTAGTGACTATCAGTGGGTTCCAATTTAATTATAGTAATAGTATACAGGAAATTATCTAGACTTATTTCGTAACTTGTCCTCTTGATTTATGGACAGAAACTACTTTTCAGCTGATAGAGTCGACGTCATATTGGTCACAAAGGGGAATATCACAGACACGTGAAAACTTTCAAGAAGAGTCATTCGTAGGTGAAAAGCTCGTTTGGCGTAGTTTGGAGATTGAGGAGCGACTGAGAAATGTTATCGTCTCCATTTCCTTGCTTATGGCACAGTCTTGCCCTTTAAGTTACGGTATCCAGTGGTGATGGTAAGGATCATTCATGGTATCCTTTTGACGGCGTTAGTACAAAATGATGCTTTTGGGGATCATTAATAAAACCAAAGACGTTGCTCCTGGGTACAAGTATAATAAAGTAATGCCTAGTCTATACCACTAAAGCTCAGATCCAGCTATCTTGGCTTAAACACATTTTGTGTCTTTATATGACTTGTTTTGTAGCGCACAGGTTGCAAGTTGATGGGTATATTAAGTCGACATTACTGAGAGAGAGAGAGAGAGGGGAGAGAGATAGAGAGAGGGGGGGGGGGTAATGTCCACTAGACGCAAACAAGGACATTTCGAGACATTCAAGGCATAATTTTATTTAGAGAATTCGCTTTAACAGTGAGTGGAGATCCAGAGAAAAACCTGCGGGTTGGACGGCCCTGCCCTTGGTCACGTACATGTATGGGATCGAAACCGCGTCGCTTGACTCAAAGGCAGACCTTATGACCTAAAGGAACCAAAGCTGTTGCTAGCTTAGAACTTCAATTATTTAAAATCATCACACAATAGTGATGTTGGTTTTTTTTAATATTATTTTGGGGATGTGGGAAGCCTGGTCTGTTAACAATTTCCTTCAGCTGCCAAAGACCTGAGCTTCAGCGAATTATTATGGAAATATTAATAATAAATATACATGTATATATATGTGCGTAACGACATAACCGTATATCTTTCTTTTTTGATATATCTTCTTATTCTTCTATTAGTCGTTTAACGATACCACAGACAAACTACCTTTGAACAATTCCAACCCATGTTAAGAATGAAATCGACTTACGTTTTGAATGATGATAAGGAAGTTAAAGTTTTACATACGAGCCCGTTCATTGGATGCAAGAAATAAACATTACGGTCGCAGTATAATCATTCTTCCGGGATACGTAGAACGTAAAGTACGTGTCTATTGAATTAAATTCGGACACTCTCGTGTGGATCTTAACTTAATGAAAAGCCTCAGTGGTGCTTTGCGATAATGAACTAGGTTATGTTTGGGTAAAGGTCACGTTTATCAAGGCAACCATCGGAGTAGCAAAGATCAAATCACATCACTGTTAGAAGCATTTGAACATCTTAGTACAAGGTCGGTGCAATGCTCACAGAAACTCTGTTAGATTATTTCTAGTTCATTTGGCACCAGAAACTCGTTTTAATCCCATATAAAGCTAACAAATAACTGGCAAAGGGTGCTAACAGGCATGCGCTGAATATTAAGGTGGCAATACGCTTATACTAGCCTTTTATCACACTTATTGCTAAATATGCATATTAATTTAGAAATCCCGACAGTTCAAGGTTCGTTATATGAAACATTAATCAACCCTGTTTACCACTCGATAAAATCGTTATATGTAAACAGATGCCATATTGGGTAGTCAACTAATTTAAGTGAGAGGGGCGTTTATTTGAGAAGATGTGATCGGTTTTATGATACAGTAAGGTTTAGACGGATAAAATATTGGGCGAGCGACCCTACCACTTAATGACTCATTGGCAGACCTCATGATCTAAAGCACACACACGCGCGCGGTAGACCATACATGCCGCCACCCACAATACAAAAAGTGTCAACGGGATGAGATGGTACAGAGTCTTCGATAATGGAAAAGACTCTCTTAAGAGACGAGAATCGGTCGTTGTTTTTAGTTTTCATGTAAGCTAGTCACATACCAAAACAAAATAAAATCCCTCCCTGGAGAATGACTGTAATCAGAAGTCAAGTAGTTAAATCGAGATTACTAAGTATACACAGTTTGTATTTCCAGACTTACTCGAAATCCTACATACGTACGGTTTTCAATGCAATTAGGCAAAAACGAAAAATACACGTGCCTTACTCATAGTGAAGCAACATGACTGTCGTGTTTCGTAGAACGTCACATCAATAATTTTAGTCAAAAACGAATCGATAAATAGATCGATTCAGCTCATTCTACGTAATATTAATGTTATAGAGCCTACGCTTTTCAAACAAATCTTGCCAAATCATCAAAAAATCAAAATTCCAAGAAACCTCGCAACTTTAACAACGAGACAATAACCATTCGACCAATTTAGATCAGATCGGTTTCAAAAATAAATATCTTGTTTAAATCTTTCACAATTTCTTCTATCTTCTCTAATATTTGATTATTTGATTCACGAGTATTTCCTCAAAATAGTTTTCCGTATTTCGTAATATCAATTGATTTTTTTAGATTACATCTGGCCATTCTCAATGTCGTTAAATACCTACTCCCGAAAACATATCAACGGCTTTCTGAATAGTCTTATACTTGAATAGCCTAGGCATGTTTGTCATTTGTATTAAAGCAGAATCATGTTGAAAAATTCTCAAAATAGATTTTCATTATTTGTTTTACGGCGGTCCCCTCCTGCATCTTGCTTGTGACGTCAATATTATTGGATTGTTAAAATACACAAACAAACCGAGGTCTTTAATTAATGGCTTCAATGTTGTGATTACCGCGGTCTATTCAATATCGGCTATTCTTAAAGGATTCCGGGTATCCCTTCAGTAAGGTTTCCCCCCGAGTAAATAAAAATCTTTTAATGTTGTTACTTTATACCGTTTCAATCAATTAAGAGTCTGAAGTCTATGTCGATCGTGGTAATGGTTGATCGGAACAATGACAATCAGGATACTAACGCGAATCACTGACGCGTAAGGATCAGATGGAATTTGTCTTATAAAGTCTCTTTTATAAGTAAAAGATGAACTCGGTATTAGATCATAAGTATTATTATCCATAGAAAAAAATATAATTCTTGTCTTGAAAAGTTATATACGGATC